GGCTTTTACCACCCAAAAGTAGCGTAACCAGGGCCTGGTTACATCCTTTTCGGCCTCTCAATCCGAGCAATGGCGGCTGCTGCTGCTGCTGCTGCTACTACTACTACTAGTACTAGTACTAGTACTACTGCTGCTACTGCTGCTACTGCTACTACTGCTACTCCTACTACTACTACTACTACAACTACTGCTACTACTACTACTACTACTACTACGACCACTACGACGACCATGACGGCGACTACTAATTTATAATTACTAAGTACTAATTACTAATTACTAACTACTAATTACTAACTACTAACTACTAACTACTAACTACTAACAACTAACTACTAACTACTAACTACTAACTACTAACTACTAACTACTAACTACTAACTACTAACTACTAACTCCTAACTACTAACTACTAACTACTAACTACTAACTACTAACTACTAACTACTAACTACTAACTACTAACTACTACAACAACTACTACTACTACTACTAGTCCTCCTCCTCCTACTACTACTACTACTACTACCACCACTACTACCACCACCACCTACGACGACTACGACGACTATACTGTCTACGACCACTAGTACTAGCACTAGCGGCAGTGGCAGCAGCAGCAGCAGCAGGAGAGGAGGAGGAGGAGGAGTAGTAGTAGTAGTAGTAGTAGTAGTACTGCTACTGCTACCACCACTAAGTACTACTACTATGCACCAGTAGTTGTAGCGGCACAAGCAGTATTAGTGGTCAGGTGCATTACTTGCAATCCTAAAGCTTACTAGTACTATATAGTTGCTAGGTGCATTACTTGATCATTGCAGGCCCAGGCTGGGAAACATGCAGCCACTGAGGTTTACGGCACGCTCTCCTCCTGTAACACGAGATCAGGTCGCAGCCGACCGAACCCCCAGATGCTCTCTTGAACCACGAACCGAAGCACCGCGGACCCAAGGGGTTTAGGGTTTAGGGGTTGCGGGTTCATGATACCAAACCCCTCCGGTTGTGAACTCTGCACGAGGGAAACCAACGGTAGCCAGTCAGTGTATTTCAGCACTCACATCTGGGACAAGCCGGGCGAGGTCTCAAGTACGTCGAAAGCACTAAGTCAGGGTTTAGGGGCCCAAGCTTTGGGGTCCATGGGAAGTAGCGGATGAGTTGTGCAACGAGCAGTAACCGGAGAAACGGCTCACTGAGTGAGAGGCTCGGAACATGTAGTCAGTGCAAGTTGTGAAATGGTGTTTGAGTCAGTTGAGCTGTTTCTGCAGAAAAGGGCTACAGGAGCAAAAGGAGTCAGTGACGAACCCGGCTGCCAGAATCCTATGTCAAGCTCTGTTTCACTCTCGCGTGCCTTCCTTAAGGGACTACAGGCCCGGTCGGAAGACGAGACCCCGAGCGGTAGCAAGTCACACAGACAAGCAAACATAATTCTCCACACCATAAACCTCCCTGAATTGCGACGGCGTTGCGCTCAGGCTCATTGTAGATGTCAAACTCCCTGTGGCAAACATCATTTCGTCAGCCGCCGTGCTCTTCATTCCGCGGACGGGGAACTGCTCTAAACCTTCACTGCTCTTGCAAACCCCGGAAAAAGCAATAAGAACCGCTACAGAAACATGGATTCACCGAACAGGGGCCAAAAGGGATTCTAAAGACCACCCTGGAAGCCGAGCGAGGAATCACCCGAGCTTGTGGAGCACACATCTGCCTCATCCTTGCCGTCCGTTTGCATACCACCGATGAGGCTCTTGGGCAAAGGAATTTGATCCAGCCCGGGTGGTGCTTGAGGGAATTGGTTCAAAACGGCATCCGATTCCCGTGGAAACCATGGTGCTGCGGCAGAGTTCAAGGCAAACTTTCGGGGCGCGCCGAGAGTCTGCACTGGCATCGTGTAGGAGGCAAGGAGCTGGGATGGAGCGCAAGGCGGGATCATCTGGAAGGTTGCGTTGTGCATCTCCGTGACCTTGACCTTCGCCTTTGGCCCAAGCTGGTGCACAAACCTACATGCATCACCACGAGTGCAAACACCCTTCTTCGCGAAGTCAAAGCAAGGCTTCGGACTGGGACGTAAGTCTGACGAGTCGTGTGCAAACGTACAATCGGCCCCCATCTTGCACTCGTTGGTCTGCCAGAACTTGCACATGCGGGTGAACTGCACGGCCTTCTTCTGCTCGGCCTTCGTCATGGCTTCCCAACTCGAGGAGCGAACTGGCTTGGTTTCAAGACCAACTAGGGGCAACTTGACTTGGCCAAACAGGAGTCGAGAAGAGCACACATCATGCGAACCATGACCATGCCCGTAATGCCATTTCGTAAAGAACTGCTGACAGCCTACAGCTAAACGGGAAAGCCTCGAATGGAATCCGTGAATCGTGCGCAAACGCCCAATCTTGGTGTCGCATTCATACCCGACCGCCGCCTCCCCACACCACTTTCCAGATCAAGTTGGGCTCTAAGTACACGTGCCCCCTAAAACGTAAACTGAATAGGAAGCAGCAGTAGTCGTAGCAGTAGTACATGCTGTAGAACGAACCTGAAAAAACAATCAATTGATTATCCTTCGCAGCAGCAATGATGCCATTGACTCGCACTGGTAAACCAAGGGTGCTCCCGGGAGCTTGCTGGCGCTCATGGCTTAAGATGAAAGAGGACCTGCAAGGCAGGGTACCTTATTCAAGGGTCTCGAATATTACACGGATGGGACCATTAAGTGCTGATTCGGGCTGATCTTACGACCTTCCATTTCACCACAAACATTGCACACAGCTTCGCTCTGGTCTACCTTTTCGTGCTTTGCACCCGCTTTGGTCTGGGGTTAAACCATGGCATCTTCAATTCGAGGATGCACTACTGGATTTCCCGGTGGAGAGCGCCGCGGATTGATATTTACACGAAATACCACGACTTCTCGCACGCCAGATCAACACAACGGAGATGTGGTCGGCAGCGTTTTTCAGAACAACGGATAAACGACCGTGCCTCGAAAGTCGGGATAAACAGGCCTGTCGCTAGCATAGCGAACTCGATGCCTATAGCACGTCAACTTTGGAAACGAAAGCTGCCTTCGCTCATTTAAGTGATGACTATCGGCCTATGGTCAACTAGCTGTAGCATAAATCAATCACATGCCTCGCGATGGTTGTGGTAGTGGTGGTGGTGGTAGCAGTGGTGGTCGTAGCAGTAGCAGTAGCAGTAGTAGTGACAATAGTAGTAGTGCAAGTACAAGTACTAGTACTCGATCCAGTACCGGTACCAGAGCCAGTACCAGCAGTGCCAGTAGTACCAGTAGCAGTAGCAGTAGCAGCAGTAGTAGTAGTAGTAGTAGCAGTAGAAGTAGTAGGAGGTAGTAGTACTAATAACTACAGATCGTTGTACAAGTACAAGTACTAGTACAACTACTGGTATCATTACCAGTACCAGTACTTCTAGAAGTAGTACTAGTAGTAGTAATAGTAGTAATGGTAGTAGTAGTAGTAGTAGCAATAAAAATGATTCTAGTCGTAGTATAGATTGTTTTAGCAGTAGCTTTAATTCGTAGTAGTAGCAGTAGTAGTAGTAGTAGTAGTAGTTGTAGTAGTTGTTGTTGTTGTAATTGTAGTAGTTGTTGTTGTTGTTGCTGCTGCTGTTGTTGTTGTCGTTGTTGTTGTTTTTTGTCACTCACTTGGCAGTAGTAGTAGTAGTAGTAGTAGTAGTAGTAGTAATCGTAGTAATAGTAGTAATAGTAGTAATAGTAGTAGTAGTAGTAGTAGTCGTAGTCGTAGTCGTCGTAGTAGTAGTAGTGTAGTAGTGTAGTAGTAGTAGTAGTAGTAGTAGTAGTACTAGTAGTAGTAGTACTAGTAGTAGTAGCAGTCGTTGTTGCCGTGGCGGTGGCAGCAGTAGAGCTTGAAGCTGTAGTCGTAACAGCTGCTCTTGCAGCAGCGGTAGAAATAGTAGCAGTGGTAGCAGCGCTGGTTGTAGTAGCGGCTAGTAGTAGCAGCAGTGGTAGTGAAAGCATCTAGTAGCAGCACAAAAATGTCAGTACCTGTACTAGTCGCCGAAGTAGAGGTACTAGTAGTATAAGAAGAAGTAGTACTTGATGCTGTTGTTGCTGTTATTGAATTAAGAGTCGCCGCGCAGCATATGGCTCCTAGAGAGGGAACAATGGCATGAGTCTTGCAACTCGCAACACAGCCTCGGTCAAGATCAAACTCCTCACGAAGGCTGACATCCTTGCTTTAAGAGATTCTAGTGTGTCATGTTCACGCCCAATAGCACTTTCATCAATGAATCTCCACCAAATATGTCCAACCACGAACGAGAATCAGAATATGGCAGCGCAACACACAAGTGACACGACGCCGCCCACCACAACTCATTCAAGCCCAGAAAGAGTCAGTCGGTCTAATCTGGAGTGCATGCAGTTCGCCTACACAAACCGCAAGCCGCGCTGAAGCCGAACGAATAAAGGCCTGGGGCACCAATCACAACTCATCGCACCGTCGGATGATACCGATACCCGCAAGCCTACACTCGCACAGCTACGGGAACGAAATTGAACGGGGTACTTAGTTCTTCTGAGGGTTTAGATTTCGGGGTGCCGAATGAAACAAAAACACGATAGACTGGCAACTTGAAGGGGCCCCCACCTCATTGTAACGTGTATGCGGACCTACATCAGGAAAGGATGTCCTGTTGTCACTACGTTGTATGCCTGGCATGATAGACCATATAGCTTCCTAATTCCCCGCCGGCATTGCAATGTCGAGCAGCACTCTAACGTGTCAAGCACCCCGGCACCGCCCGCAGAGGGTCCACGAGCATTTGCGCCGGGGATTTACAAGGAGAACAGAAAACCATCAGGGTCTCTTGTTCCGATTTAGCAGCATAGTAACTTTATACAAATTGTATGTATGTATGTATATATATATGTATATATACACGCATGTGTACATATTCCGGGTCTATAGAAGCTTTATATATATATACACACATACACGTACTTATGAACATACACATTTCTATATGTTTAGATTTATATGCACGCGAGCATATACATCATCACAGACCAATGGATATTCTAATATAACAGAACCTAACACAATATACTGTCGAACATTTTTTGTACAATGTACTGTGGCATAAAATATTTGAAAAGAACACATATTAAAGTATGTTGTACCATATTCTGATAAACAGATAAGATACGACGGTTCAAAGAAATGAAACATGCTATATCTTAATGAAATGCGGGTCAGAATTAAAATTCAAAATATGAGTGTTACTAGTAGTAGTGTGAATGATTTTCATATTGTTAATAACAATAGTGCCTAATAACAATAACATGAATTTAATGTAATATCGCAAAAAGTAATGAATATGTTAACAGGTATACAGAGGTGTAAAAAGAAACGAAACATAAACGAGACTGTAAACAAAGTAAAATCAGATCAAATGAGGAGAATGGCAGCAATACCAGTGGTATAACACCGTACAGTTTATTCTAACCTAGTCTAATACACCCCAACATAATAAGAAGTACTTTCAATACAAAGTGGTCATGTATAAACAAAGGTATAAGTACACATATGCAGCATGTGTATGTATATATATATATAGATATATCATGTATGTGCAGATGGCTAATTGTCATTGCGTGCTTATGTATGCGCATGTGTGCTCGTTTCGTTTATATGTGTATATATATCTATACACACATATACATATATATATACACATATGTATGTATGTATGTATGTATGTATGTATGTATGTATGCATATATGTATGTACGTATGTATGTATGTATGTATGTATGTATGTGTACATGTACATGTACATGTACATGTACATGTATATGTATATGTATATGTATGTATGCGTTTGTGTGTATATAAATATACGCATACATACATGCTTTTTGAGTATATACAAGAATATATGCATCATTTTTCTACTTTTTTGTGTGATATATATATATACACTAATATAGTATCGTACAGATACTATAGGAACCTCTTTCAGGCCAGAGTAGATAGTACATAGGCATCTGGACCCTGATGAAAACCCAAAAAAAAAGCTGCTTCAGGTCCAGGTGGCGCGGTATGTGGATGACGTGGTGAAGCACTTTGCTCTTAAAGGAGTTTGTGGTGTGAACCATAAGGAACTTGTGGGAGCTGTCGGATCCAGCATTCATCGTTTCTGTGTACCATCTACAAAGATTCAGCCATCCACAGCTCAGAACTCCCACGTCATTCACTCTCCCCAACAAGAGCTAGGCAGGTCAGCCAGAGCTCCAGTGACTCAATCCGCGCACAGACATAGGTCTAGCAAAAGCAAAGGTCATGGCACTCCCCAACTCCATGCAAGCCACGACTGAACCTCCGAAAATGCTTCCTGTGCGAAGAAGGATCCCACATCCCACCAATCCGAACCCTGTGCTTGGACCCTAGACGGTTTTCTAGGGGTTTAGGCCTGGGACTTGGGATTCGAGGGCTCGGTGGGCAAATGTACGGGGCTCCTTCCCATCCCAGATTCTCAACCAACCAGAGTGGCATGCTAGAAGCATGCAAGAAGCCTGGGCCTTGTCTGCTGACTACATAACACAAGGAGAACAAATGTAATGTGCCGACATAAACAGTGTGATGTTAGTCGTGCGTAGTTGCCGCCGTAGCGGCTCCTCCTCCTCCTCCTCCTCGTACCACCACTACTACTACTACTACTGCTGCTGCTGCTGCTACTACTACTACTACTGCAAATACTACTACGACGACGACGATGACTTTTACTACTACTACTACTACTACTACTACTCCTGCTGCTGCTGCTGCTGCTGCTCCTGCCGCCGCTACTACTAGTACTACTCATACCACTACTGCTGCTACTAAGTACTGCGCTTACGCCTACGGCTACGACTACTGCCATCACCACCACTTAGCAATAGCACTAGCATTAGCAGTAGCTCTACAACCTCCAGTGATCACCAGTATCTCACCCGCACTACTACCTAGTGACTGTATGTGAAAGATGTCAATGGCAAATACATACTAACGCTGATGCAACCATGCTCTGGCAGCAGACCATGATTTTCCCTGGTGCCACGATGTTAGGCAGTTCGGCAATGAGGCAAACCATGTTGAAATGATTCCAGCCTACACCCTAAAGCCTACTCCCCTTTTTTAAGCACGGACTTGTAGTGTAAGCCTACTCCCCTAAACCCTAAACCTTACTAGCACTATATAGTTGCTAGGTGCATTACTTGATAATTTCAAGCCCAGACTGGGGACACATACAGTCAGAGAGGTTCACGGCACGCTCTCCTCCTGTAACACGAGATCACGTCGAGGCCGACCGAACTCCGAGCTGCCTTCTTGAACCCCGAACCGATGCACCGTGGACCCAAGACTGCTTCGCGAGACCAAAGCTTTCGAGGCTTAATCTAGCTTAGCTATGGCACACTCTGCACTCTAGGACTGCTTGAACCATCCTAAGCCTATGTGAGGGATATGGGATCGCTCAGCCAGAGACCTTAGCAACACGACGGGGATGTATCTCTCTGAGGGCAAAGTGGACAAACTGACTTAACCTGCTCCACGGCGATGCTGCTACTGCCTTCATAACTTGTAATCATTATCAGTTGGCTGTGAATCTGGGGTTTCGGTGTTGGGGTAGCTTGGGTTCAGGGGCCCAGGGAGACGATAGGTCGTGCAAAGGTGCAGTAACTACAGATGCGGTTCACTGAGTGAGAGGCTCAGAACATGAGGGGCAAGTTGTGCAACAGCTGCTTTTGCTGGAAATAGCTGCGGGACCAAGTGCGCTAGTGATGAACCTGGCTGCAACAGTCCTGCTTGAAGCACCCTTAAAGGACTGCATTAGCTACATGCTCGGTCGGAAGACGAAACCACGTGCGGTAGCAAGTCACACGGACAAGCACACATAGTTCTCCACACCATAAACCTCCCTGAATTGCGACGGCGTTGCGCTCAGGCTCATTGTAGATGTCAAGCTCCCTGTGGCAAACATCATTTCGTCAGCCGCCGTGCTCTTCATTTCGCGGATGCGGAACTGTTCCAAACCTTCGCAGCTCTTGCAAACTCTGGAAAATATCAATGATAATCGCTACAGAAACACGGTTTCACCGAACAGGGGCCAACAAGGATTCTAAAGACCACCCTGGCGGCCCAGCGAGGATTCACCCGAGCGTGTGGTGCACAGATCCGCCTCATCCTTGTTATTGTTGTCCACCATGCAAACGGCACCGCCGATGAGGCTCTTGGGCAAAGGAATTTGATCCAGCCCGGGTGGTGCTTGAGGGAATTGGTTCAAAACGGCATCCGATTCCCATGGAAACCATGGTGCTGCGCCAGAGTTCAACGCAAACTTTCCGGGCGCGTCGAGACTCTGCATTGGCATCGTGTAGGCGGCAAGCAGCTGGGATGGAATGTCAGGCCGGATCATCTGGAAGGTTGCGTTGTGCATCTCCGTGACATTGACCTTTGCCTTTGGCCCAAGCTGGTGCACAAACCTACATGCATCACCACGAGTGCAGACGCCCTTCTTCGCAAAGTCAAAGCAAGGCTTCGGACTGGGACGTAAGTCTGACGCGTCGTGTGCAAAGGTACAATCGGCCCCCATCTTGCACTCGTTGGTCTGCCAGAACTTGCACATGCGGGTGAACTGCACGGCCTTCTTCTGCTCGGCCTTCGTCATGGCTTCCCAACTCGCGGAGCGGAGTGATTTCGCTGGAAGACTACAGGCAGATTGACTTGAAAGCACGGCAAAGAAGCAGAACAGTACACAGCAGCATATGAAGCATGCCTTCCATTATATTCTCATTGACATAGTCTACGCTAAACCCTCATGCCAACAATAGCCTCTGTCTCGCAGTAAGGCTGCCACCTGAGCCTGAGAACCCAAACCTAATCGAACCGACTCGTAAACCCTAATCCCCAAGACCTTAAGCCCTAAACCCTTAACCTGAAACCCGAAACCTTAGAACCCCTTGATTCCTAAACCAGAAACCCTAAGCGAAGGCTTTGCAGGGGAACTCTGAAACCCTATGCGGAACCCTTACGGGCACCCCAAAAACCCTGCACACAACCAGCTGAGCAGCCAAGTCGGGCTTCTTGAAGCGCGTCGCGGAATAGTACGACGCCACCTTAGCAGCAAGGACTTCAAAAACAAGCAGTTCAGGGATTTTTAAGGATTTCGGGGCTTAGAGTTGAGACGTTTGATGACTGTCGGGCATGGATCGGACAGCGATCATCAGGTCGGCCGAGAAGTCTCGTTGGCTTCCGATATGTCTCCTAAGCCTAACCCAGCAAGCTAAACGTTCAAGTAATCGAACAAGAACCGATGCTACATCTTTCTGCTCCCTCTGATGGCGATATCTGGTTTCCGGGGCAGTAACCTACCTTTCCTTCAGACCTAAACCTTAGGGAACCATGAGCCCACCTCACACGTGGGTTTGGCCACGACTCTGACATTCTCTTTTCACGATGCAACCGAAGGCTTTAAACGCCCGAACTAAGTCTTACTTGGCAGGGGCTACGGCGCCTATGTTTAAACACCCGGACATTTAAACGGCTTAAACAAATCGTTTGCACTAGGTCTAACAGCAGTGGCATTGGGC